CGCAAACCCCTTCAACAAAAAAATTTTCTTTTTAATTTTATTTCNGTTTTTTTTTTCCGCTTTCTGCATCACCCACCCGCCCCAAAACCCACCCCACCCCTACCCCCATATTTTTTTTCAACTTACACATTTTAAGGTAAAAGACATTTTTTATGCAAGATGAGCATGGTTCTAAAATATGGGTCAAGTTGGGCCATTGTTTAGCCCATCTTAGCCCAAGTACACTTTGGGCTGGGTTGGGCAATGACCCATTTATTGACCTAACCCATCTTGACCCGCCCATTTATCACCCCTAGTTAAAGGAGTAGATCTTTTCGGTGTCTTTTTTTGTAAAGCAAGCCGAGCAATAATCTAGGTAGAGTGTCAAGTATTCAGGTTAAAATGAGCCTAGCTGCACCTACCTCTTAGTTAGCTAGAGCACAAGGAGATGGAATCAGAACCTTGAGATTTGATTATCAAAGAGCATAAAAAGAAAATCAACTCTGCAACCCATTAATATTCTAATGGTATTGGCTCTGCAATCAGAATCTTGACTTTTCTTGTACAAGCTAAATATAGAACTGAACCCATAGAGGTGTCAACTGACATTGTAACATTTGCTATACTTAAAAGCACCTTTGCATGAAAGACAACTAAGGTTACATCGGAAATGTATTCCTTAAGCATCGTGATATGTGACCACTTCTATCGTGCGTAACTTTTGAGTTCCAACTAAATCCATAAAGAGATCGAGGTGAGTAAGAGTGGAACTACATAGTGTGAAGGGAGTTCAATTGGATCCCCTACATAGTGCGAGGTGAGAAAATTATGCTATGCAAATGGGTAAAATATTTTTTTTTGTTTGTATATAGATTAATTGTTGAATCTCTTTAACATAAGGAAAGCTTCTAGTGAGCAGCAACAGTGGCTCAGAAATCGTTTTAGGTCACAAATTTAAACTAGTAAGGAGAGGGACAGAGAAGAAAAGAGATGGAGAATTGCAGCCGTTGAACTAGGATGAGTTGTGAGGTTTTTGCATTTATATACGTGTGAAGGGCAGAAAGTAGATGTATATGAACACTGGCTAGCTAGGATTTCAGGCTTACCAAGACAGGTTTTGTAAGGTTCAATCTCGACTTGAAATCTATTCAGGCTGATCTAAGACCAAGCTTAACTCTGGCCAAAACGTGCTTAGCAGATCAAACCGAGCAAACCTTGAGTGTATATATTAAGAAATAATTGATAGTGCCATGATTCTACTGACTTAAAATTATGGATCTACTAATGTTGAAAGATATTAAAGCAATCTGCTGAAAGTGACACTTCTCCAGGAAACTGATTGTAGATTCAATGTGTAATATATCCGCCACAACTCAGCGACCAACATATAGGAAGAAGTAAGCAAGAAATATTCTTTTCTTGGATGAGATTTAAAATTACCCAGATATAGTTAACTCTTTAGAAAGTTGGCTGCAGTGTTATTCATAGATCACAGTTAGATTGTTCTATGAAATATTAATATCTCATTCTTTCTGCTATTAAATCAATAGAATAGGGTTCCTACTTCTGTAAGTTTTAACTTGGCATTTTAGTCCAGTGGATCACTTTAATCAGGAGGCATGCAGAAGTCATTGCAGACGATGATGTTGTCTTTCCAGTTTTCAAGATGTTCTGCAAGGTGTGCATCATGCTGCTCTTTTCCTTCCTCAATTTCGACTCTGGATTAAAAAAATTCATCAACGTTAACCATTCGTTTTCAAGCCATATTTGGTCTAAACTTGTAGCATATCATGCAGCGAAGTCACAACTGCATTCCAGATGAACATTACGTGCAGACATTATTGGCAGTAAGTAATTAACCAATTATTTACCTAAGGTGCTTTTCTGTTTTCCGTCTTCTTGTATTTTCTCTGTTTCATGGAAGAAGTCAAAACTGTGATGTTCTTAAGCAAGTTCCTCCTGTGTTGTTTTATGAGAATCATCATGTGTTCAATCGGAATTACATCTACTGGTTTTTCATTTTTGCGAATAGATGCATGACATTGAAGGAGAACTGGAACGTAGAACGATTACCTATACAGAGTGGAATCAATCTGCGACAAACATGGACAAAAGTAGTTGGCATCCTGTGACATTTAGCTATGCAGATGCAGGGGCTGAACAGATCAAGAGAATAAAGGTAATTTCACAGGCGCATATATAATATTCTATCATCTCCTACTTGGACATTTGGCTGCATTCATCTCTTTTATGTTTGGAGTTTAACTTCTATATACTGGAAGTGTCAAAGAATTTTTAAATATCTACAGGTAACGAGTCCATAATAAGTGGGATTAATTAATAGCCTAGAAAATAAGGTTGGTAACTAGCTAACAACTAGTTAACGTACTCTAGTAGTCTAAAAATTCTTTAGATTGTCAGTGCAGATAATTAAGTTAAATCGGAATGTTTTTATGTGGTGTTAGTTCTTAACTCTCTATGTTGATTCGCTTGGTTGACTTTTCTGGTCGTTTCTCTTGGATTTCTAGTTGGTTATATTCCTCTAGTTAGTTATGCATCAAATCATTTGGCCTTCACAACTGATTGATTTATGTATGAATTCTGACAGGATATCGACAATGTTTACTATGAAACTGAGTACAGAACGGAGTGGTGCCATAATAATTCCACACAGGTTCCCTGTTTTTTGTTTGCAAGGAAATTCTCAAGAGGAGCAGCAATGCGTCTGTTGAGTGAAGGAGTAATTTCTCAGTTTGATGCCTCTGCTATGATGGACCCAACGCCATGATTTTGCTTTGTATTATAGGCCAGTAGACCTTGAGATCTTAATACATAAGGGTGATCATCAATACTAGAAAGCGAAAAAAGTTTTGATAGTGTTACTGTTCAGTACTTCAGCCTTTTAGAATTTGGGAACATAAAGTGGAAGTTGTTCCTTGGTTTGGTTCATGTAAGGCTTCCCGTTGTAGATATTAAAAAGTTACTTCATACTGATGCATGATTCAAGCTGCCTAAAATTGAAAGGTTTTTCTTTGGAGTGAGTATGAATTTAAATATATGCACGAATAGTGTAGAAAGTTTATACATAATCGTCGAAAGTATGTCAACATCCCTTCCTCCTCAAAGTTTTCATAAATATCAAGATAAGCCCCCCTTAAGTTGAGAGATTTCACCAATTATACAGCTATAAAAGCCTTTTTTCCTCCACTTTAGAATGATAAAGAGATGAGGTAGGATTTCATTTCACAATCCAGTTAGTAAGAAAAACGAATTTTGGTAGCATTCAAGTTGTAGCCGACCAAATTGACTACTATTTCAACAAAAACAAAAGACAGAATGCAAAGATGAATATGTTACTCTATAATGACTGCATATAAGTGCATATGTAACTGATAATCTGTGGAAAGCCGACTCTTATTTTGGTCAACCAAAATCATCGCATATCCGGTATAATAGAATTTGACTGCGCCAGTGAAAGGGATAGAGAGGGATAGTTGACATCTCTTCGGGTCGTTTGTTAGGTGCATAAGAATAATGCTGAATAGGGTGTATTAGTAATGCTGATATTAGTTATGCTTGCATTAGTTATGGTGGTATTAGTTATGCTGACATATTTCTTATCCATTGTTTGGTTTGATGTATTAAAGCATTGCACAATTTCTAAAAGAATTGTTTGTTTATAAAGATGCCCTCAAAACTAGTTCACACTCTAACTTTTTAAAAGAAACATATGTTGAGAAATGTTTTTATATGAAAAGGTTTAAAAAAAATTATTTGATTTGTCTACCTATATTGTAAAATAAAAAAATATTTATTTATAAACAAGGTGTGAGCAAGTGATTTTTGCCACGCTTAAATTACTCCTATAAAATTCCTTAGAATTAGGATTTTTCTTTTATTATTTGAATTTTAGGAATTAATTGCATGATTTTGTGTCTTGTTTGCATTTTTTGTGTGCATTTTAATTGATATAATTCCAAAAATACAAAATAGTACGCATTTTAATATTACAAAAAATAAAGAAAATAACAAATTGCTTAAGTTTTCTTTTAAATTAGAAATTAGTTAATTTTGGAATTAATATAATTTTAGAGTCAATTTGGGTCTTTAATTCTAAATCTTACATTTAATAAAATTAGAAAATAAAATACAAAACATAAAATACAAAAAGAAAAGAAGAATAAAACAAATAAAGAGAATTTGAAACAAGCAAGAAAAGGGGTCAGGCCACCTTTTGGGCCATTACTTGATACACAGCTCAAGCCCAAACGGACCAAACACACTCCCAGCCCAAAACCCCTCCAGACCCGTTGCCCCGGCCAAGCCCAAATATCCAATAACCCGGTCCAGCCCCCAGGCTACCAAACGACACCGTTTTGGCCAGGTAAATCCAAGCCGTCCATCGCCTATCATCCAACGGTCCAAATTTGTTCAAGCGGTTTTACATAAAAGTGTAATAACACCCTTTACAAATTAGAGACAAAACCTTCTCTTCCTCGTACCCCCTGTCTCCCACCGCCGCCCACCGTCAGACCACCGTGTCTCCGCCGTCTTCCGTCGTACGCTGCCGGCCGAAAATCGCCTCCGCCGGTGGCGAAGCTCCAAATGACCCCAAAATTTCACCACAAGCTCTCCTTCCCCTCCTCTTTCCAACCCCCAAAACCATCTCCCTCGAATCATAACCAAACCTCTCGAATATTAGATCGAAAAATCAGGCCAAAACCTCAACTCATCCAAATCTAACAAAATTCACACCCTGTACTCTCCTAACCCCCCTCTTCCCGGATTCTTATCTAGAATCTTTCAAATGTTGCCAAAACCCCTTTAATTTTAGATCTAGGGTTTCAAGGACGGCACTGTTCTGGATTTTCAAGAACTCGAGGATTTTTTTTAATTGATGTTATATGTTTTATAAACATGTAACATTAATTAAAAAATCAACTTCGATAAATCAATCAAAATGAAGACCAAAAGAAAAAACAACAGTGAGTTTCGTTTTATTATTTTTTAGTTTTGATTATTCTGGTTTTCTATCGCATCATTTTGATTGATTTTTGTTTAAACTTGTTTGATTCCTATTTTGATTTCCTTCTTACTCTCGTTTAGTTCATGCCTCATTCATGTGTGATTCCAGTTCCATCTAGAATTTTAGTCATGATTTGTATTCGTTTTTATTATTCTGTTCTCTCTTTTTCTCTTTTTCTTTCTTATTGATTGATGATTCTGTGTTAGTTCATGTTTAATTGCTTAGTTTAAAATTTTTGATTGTTAATTATGTTTTATTGATGGTTTGGTAAAGTACGAATTAGGATTAATCTGCAGTTTTATTTAGTTTTGATAATTCAATTCTATAGTTTTGAGCCTGGTTGGATATAGCTGAATAGTTTGGTCTGTTAATTAACCGTAGTTACTAACTAAGGTAAAAGGGGCTGGGGGTTATAGTTTCATACTAGGGTTAGTAATTTCAGGGGTAATCAAGGGTAGTTTGGGCACTTAAAATGGGTTAGTTTGTTAAGGCTCTGTAATTTTAGAACAAAAATGAGGGTAGTATAGGTATTTCATAGGTAGGAAACAAAGCTAGAATACCCTAGGTCCTTCTAGAAGGGGGTCTTAGTATAAGTTTCTGCATTCTTAATGCAGTAACTTGGGCAACAAGCCACAAATTTAGGGATAAATGGACAATTTCTGAAAATAAAAAGGGGGGAAAATGAATGAAAACCTCTAGAACATTCCTGCCTCTTCCTTGCCTATAAAAAGCAGGCCTAATGCCTTCATTTACAAGTTTTGAATATGAAAAATCCCCCCAAAAATTCCCCAAAGCTTTGAATACCTAAAAGCTCAAAAGTTCAAAAACCAAATCCACAATTGTTAGCTTGAAAATCTGAAGTTCTTTCCTATTAGATTAGAATCATTTAGATCCTCAAAACAAAGCAAACATCCAAAAACACTGCTCTATTAGAGTTTTAGGGTAATTTTGGATTTGATTTGGCATCATTTAGCCTAGAATTTGATTGCTGGAGTTTTGTGGAGATCTCTGAAGTATTTTCGAGTGTGTTTGAGTCCTATCAAATTGGTTTTGGTTATTTCGTTGATGCTATTCCTCCTGCATCCATTTCTGGGTTGCTGTGGCCTTTTTGAGTTGAAAGTTGATCCAAGTGCACTGGTTTTTCACTGCTGACTGTCTGTTTCTATTGCTGACTCCTTCTTCTTTCAATTTACTCGAATTCCAGGTACACATTTAAAAGCTGATCTGATGTAGCTTCTCAAGCCAAAAATTGGAATAAACTTGATTGTTTGATCTCTGCTGAAGCTGTATTGTTTCATTAGTCTATTATACTTTGAGTAGTTGCAATAATTTGGTAGTTATATTCATTGTATTTTTAAAACGAAAGTTGTACTGTACTGGATTGTATAATTAGGATTACTTCTAAATTGTTTGGACTGTTTTGGATAGACTGTATAATTGAACTATGAAGCTGAGTTTAATTGTAGATTATGTTAGCTGATAGGTTGGCTTTTGATGTTTATTTGGACTGTTTTGAACTGCTAGGGGATTGCTTGGATTTTAGCATGGCTTAATATAGTGTTTAACGATAGTTGATTTAGTTAGATTAAGATTGATTGAGGTCTAATGAGATGGCACGTATATTCATATAGATAAATATGTTAGTTAGTTGGTAGTTTAGATGTTAGATTGAAATACGAGTTTCAACACTGTTTGATTTACAAAAAAATGAAGAATCACGTCTCTTTGTATGCTTAAATGTTCAGCTTAAAATATATCTTTAAAATTTAAGTTACAGACTCACTTTTGAACGTTAATTAGTTAGCAAAACACAAGATTCAACAAACAATTTGACATGTCTGTAGCAGCGTTATTTGTTAAATCCCATATCTGATCCTTAATCAACCATTGAACTCTGCAGCAGTTTAAATTTGTTACTTGGGCTTGCGATTGAAGCCCAGAAACGTTGTGTTCTTCTTTTGGGCTGTTTGAGATTTAGCCCAATCGAAATGCTGTTTGTTAATTAAAGTTATTGGGCCCAGAAGCTTTACAGTCGATGTCATGAGCTTGGTTCTTTCTAAATAATGCTAATTACTTAGGCTTTAGAGACAATCCATAATAGAAAAATCGTAGTCCTTTAGGTTGGCTTTAAAATAGATGAGGTGTGCCGCGCCAAACAAGAATCATACATTGTGTGGCCCTCTTAATTATATTAAAATACTTTAGACCTTGGGACGTGCCATTTAGCGAATTTCATGGCCTCCCGCAAAGTAATAATACGCTAGTTGCTTTAGGCCCGACATTTAATAATATTACTTTTTAAACTCGGGTGCACATTTATGTGACCCAAATCCAAATCCCAACGAAGTCGAAATGTGTCAAAATCCACAGGTGCATTTATGTGACGTGGTTCGAGACGTGTTTTCACGACGTTGCAATCCTCTTTAAAAATAATAATAAAAGCGGTTTAAAGTTTAAAAGGCACATAAGTTAAAACATGTATCAAAATCAGATTTTTAGCCAATTATAATAATTTAAGCGACCGTGCTAGAACCACGGGATCCGAGGGTGCCTAACACCTTCCCTCGGGTCAACAGAATTCCTTATTCAGAATTTCTGGTTCGCAGACTCCAACAGGGAAGTCGAAATTTTCCTCGATTTGGGATTCAATTTAAACCGGTAACTTGGGACACCAAAAGCCAATCCTATCCCAAGTGGCGACTCTGAAAAATAAATAAATAATCCCATTTCGAATAATGTCACTTTAAATGGAAAAACTCCCTTATACATTATCCTTCGGGGTAGGTGTGTAAAAAGGAGGTTTGACAGCTCTGGCGACTCTGCTGGGGATACGAATCCAGAACTTCGGTTCAGGGTTCAAGAATTCGAGCTTAGAGTAGCTGTTGTAATTGGCTTATCTGATTTTCCTACATGTTTCGTGCTAAATGCTTTACCTCTTTGATATTTGCTGAACTGTACACTGTTACGAAACCCTTCTCTTCTTATCTTCGGGGATGTGCTCG